AATGTCAATTGTTATCTTAGGTCTTCATTTTTGTTGTTTCATTTTTCTCTACCCTTGAAAGTATTTTTTCCCTCATGTTCTCCAGCACTCCCTAATCCCTTGTGTCTTAGGGACTTTATTGCCTTGTTTGGTGGGAAATGATTAAAACAAACATCTCTAATTCTGCTCCCCACAGTATGAGGCTTGCCTGATGTATCACATTCTTTAAATATTTCCATCTGTATATGGTACAAACATGTGCTATGTTATTCGAAATAATTCAATAGGATAGATACCTCTATTGGTATTACTAGATTCTGTTGTAATGAAAAGAAAACAAATTCATGTTTTTAGCATCTCCAGTCGATGTCATCGATATTGCAAGGGTTAAACGATAACTTGATTTTGTATCATCATTATATGTTTCAATGTATCAGATATTTTTTTATTTAACTAGGTTATAAAAAATTTACTCAAGAACATTCTTATATATATATATATATATATATATATGGAGGCATGGTAGAGTGATGGATAGAGGCTTGGATTAAGGGATGTGAGACAATTTCGAATTCCAGTCAGATCCATTACATCCACTTATATGCTAATACCCTTGGGAAAGGTATGAATCCTCTTCTTCTCCCCCCAGCTATGGGTAAATAGCAGGACAGACCGGGTTTTATAGCCTTGGATGGCAACTGGTCTACCGCAGAAAGAAATAGCAACTGGTCTATCGCAGAAAGAAGTGGCAACCTACTGCAGAAAAAATTTGCCTTGTCAGTCATGTATTAAAAGATTCCTAAGCATGTATTATACATGGCACATAACTGACAGACTATATATAGTCTGGGTTCTATAGCCTTTGGTGGCAACTGATGTAGAAGAAGGTCTTGCTCAAGAAACAATATTTCTACTGTGGCTGCATTACATGTGGTGCCCCTACAACCCTGATGGGTCACAGGATTCATGATCGTGTGTGAGATATATATATATATATATATATAACTCATTTGCCCTTTGTCAAGGTTAACAATGCATGTAACATCCTTTTGCTGCAGCCTAGGATAATGGTTGGTCCAAATGTTCTCTTACCCATTCTTCATGACAGGATAGGAAGTTTTGTCAAGCCATCTGGCAACGGAACACACTCTGCAAGAAGTGAATTCAAGAGTGCCACCTGAAAGGGGACCAATTTTTATATGTAGTCTGTACAGAATTATTAGCTGAATTTTGATCTGAAAATTTCCCTCTATAATGTTAAGTCAATGTGTCTAATATTCACCAATGAATTCCAAAGCAAGGGATACATGAAAAAATAAATATTTGGTGTACCCCACCACCACCACCTTACCTACCCCCACGCACACACACACACACACACACACACACACACACAATGGTCAATCAATAAATCCATAAACCTGTGCCTTTTTTTTCATTTTGTTGTGATATAATGTTGATTCTATTGATTAAATTCACAACTGGTTAATGTGAGAAAGTAGATTAACTATTGTTTATTGTAACTGGTATAACTAGTTATCCCTCACTCCTCAGCTTAATCCATCCTGGGTATGACGATAAACTACATCTGCATCCTGGGTAAGACAATAAACTACATCCAACAACAAGGCCTATGATCAGGAGGTTTTGAGGAGCATGGGACCACCTCTTAATTGCTGGTGCTACCACCCCTGACCCAGGGTGGTAGCTATTTGCCCATAGCTGGGACCCTAACAGGTCCCAGCTATGGGCAAATAGTTAACACTCAAACTTGTGTGAAAACAGGTTTTAATACCAGAAATACTTTAATAAAAAAAAAAAATTATTACCAGCAATAATTTTTGAAGGAAAAATTATCAGCAAAACTTTAAAAAAAAATACCAGCAATAAAAACAGGTATACATTTTTTGGAAAAAATATGACCAGCTATAGATTTCTTCAAGGAAAAATATTCCCAGAAATAGATTTTTGAAGAAAAACATTACCAGCAATAAAAATTTTGTTGGCATTAAATAACCCATTGAGTTTGATATGCCACAAACCAAACCAAACCAAACCAGAAATACTTTGTAAAAAATGATTACCAGCAATACATTATTTCCAGTAATACATTTTGGAAAAAAAATTATTACCAGCAATAAAAATTTTGTCGGCATTAAATAACCCATTGAGGTTGATATGCCATAAACCAAACCAAACTTAATGGACTGTTCCTATCAGCAAGAGCATAGACTTGAATTCCTCTTCTGCACAGGGTGGATTGGGCCATTATATAATAATTAAACTGCTATGATTTCTCTCTTGACACTTGAACTTCTGTTTTTTGTTTACCATTGTAAATATTTATTGGGGTTTATAAACTTTTAAAAGTTGTTTTTTTTTATCCCCCCACCTATTCAAAATTATACATATGGGACTTAGAGTCTCTGAGGTATTATGGTGTTTGTAGTAAGAATGTGGTGTTTTGGTACAAGGGTTATTGTAGCTTGTCTGGCTCAGTGATTGTGACTAGCTAAGTTTTTAGTATGAGACAGACGATGACCAACCTTCTCCTTTCCCCATTATTGGCCTTGTACCCTATTTGTACTCATGTGCAATAAATATACTTGAATTTTACATGCCTAGAGAAACTACTGACATTTGAAACCAGACCTGGGCTCCTATCAATGGTCTACTTAGAAACATCCATCCACATTAGGTAACAAAGATTATTCACAATGGAAATTGGAAGTTGAATTATGGCAAATGTTTACTGAAAAGGACAAAACAAAAGAAGGTATAGAATTGGCACTCTCCTTGGAAGGAAAAGCATGAGAAACCAGACCTGGACTCCTAGCTTAGATTCTAAACTTTACAAAGTAAACACTTCAGTTTTGCAGGTGTAAGAGTCCCCCAAATATTTCTATCAGTAAGGTTCTTTCAATCTCTGTAAAAGCAAAAAAGAAGTTAACACTTTCTCCACCTATGTCAGGAAGTACAACTCATAAGAGAAACATTTTATAAATTTCTACAGAATACATTACTGGCTTCTTGGTCAGTGAATGCCAAATGTTTCCTTATATGGAAACAGCTAATATTACCATTAGAGATGAGGAGAACAGATACTACACTTTTATTCTAAACTGATGGCCAGGGAGGAAAGAAAAGCATAACTTGAGTAGCACTACTGAATCAGTTAATGAATGCCAAATGTTTCCTTATAAGGAAACAGCTAATATTACCATTACCATGATTCGTGGAAGAAAATAATTGTGCCAAAGAGAGAATTACTTGAAAAATAATAGGTATGATGTATCAAAAACATGCCATATTTTGTGTGGAAAATTGAAAAATAATTTAATTCTGCCAGAGCTTGCATTTAGTACCATAAGAGTATCACAATTCTATATAATATGCCTTAACAAAGATGCTACCTGAAATTTAAAAGCAGTCTCAGAAACATTACCATCTGAGTGATATTAATAGAGATACAGAGTAATAGTCAAGTGACCTTGAGGTAAAATCTTGAAGATTAGGATCCATTCAAAGGCTTCAGTCCTCTTAAGTGAATCCACAGCAGTGCAAGAATCCAAATAAAATTTGACTCTTCAGGAACTACTTGTAAATACCGACAGCAATTTTCTCCTACTAGCCAATGTTTTTGGTTATATCACTAAAATGTTTAAATTTGTCAAAACCCAATCTGAGCTGTAGTATTCCTGCTTCTGCCTCCGGAGTAGACAGATTGTCCTTAAGTACTTGATGATAATAATGATGAGAAATTGTGGTCTGCACAAGAATGGGAGGAAATATGAAAACTTTCTCAGGTGGTCAGGAGATGTCATTTGCTTTAGCATAGAATAGCACTGAATAAATAATTGATGATCTTGTAATGTATCAATGAATTGTCTTTTAGGATACAGAATAAAAACACATGTGAGTTAATGATCTTTGAATGCATGCTGTTCTTTTGAAATTAATGTTGCTTTTTTGGAGGAAAAATGAAAACCAGTTTGAATGTTGATTGTCTTTTAATATATGCAGTTGTTTTGAAAGTAACATTTATAGAGGGAGAGGCAGAAAAAAGCCTGCTTGAATGTTGTCTTTTACTGTATAAGGTTGATTTGAAAGTAACGTTTATAGGGGAAGAGGCAGAATAAAAGCCTGCTTGAATGTTGAATGTCTTACTATACACAGTTGATTTGAAAGTAACGTTTATAGGGGGTGAAGCAGAATAAAAGCCTGTTTGAATGTCTTTTACTGTATGAGGTTGATTTGAAAGTAACGTTTATAGGGGGATAGGCAGAATAAAAGCCTGCTTGAATGTTGAATGTCTTTTACTATATGCAGTTGATTTGAAAGTAACGTTTATAGGGGTGAAGCAGAATAATAACCTTCTTGAATGTTGAATGTCTTTTACTATATGCGGTTGTTTTGAAAGTAACATTTATAGGGGAAGAGGCAGAATGAAAACTGATTTTAATGTTGATAGTCTTTTACTGTTTGAAGTTGTTTTGAAATTAACATTGCATTTTTGGAGGCAGAATAAAATCTTATTTGAATGTGGTTAAATTTGTCAAGGACATCACTAGGAAAAAAAAACCTCTTGTGAAATTTAACTTTTCAACTTTTATAGCCTGCAGTAAATGATCAGAATTGATATCTGGATAAATAAAACTCCCACCTACTAACAAGATAGCATGATCTTCCCACAATATTTTGGGTGATGAAAAGTTAACTTTGGTCAAGTGCACACAAATTCAATCTAAATTTATACATAACTACATTTAGAAATAAATGTAAAATTTCTTGAATAAGTATAGAGAAGATTAATTTAATCCTTGTTGAAATAATCTAGGATTTTGGGGAAAAAATAATTAAAAAATATAAGCATGGTTGCATTTGGAGAACAAAAGGACTTCTGGATTGATTCCATTGTTGGTGGTGATTGGCTTAAAATCCCATCTGTCAAAGATGGGTTATTATTATGTTTAGAGTTCTTCACATACTGAAGGAATAAAAATATTAGGGACACATCATGTTTAAACACAAGTTCCCATATGATCACCAAAGTTAAGCAATATCAAGCTTGGTTAGTACCTAGATGGGTGACTGCTTGGGAATTTAAATGCAGTGCCAATCGTTATCTTTTGTCTTAATTCCTGTTCTCTTATAGTTTTCTCTCCATAATAATGTTATCTTTTTTTAATATTCTCTTTCATACAGTTACTCTTAATCTCTTGTTTTGGGTGAAATGATTACAAAAAAAAATGAATAAAAGGCTGAAAGATTTTGTTCCACTCCATATCCCAAAATCTAACCAAATATCATTTTGGTTGATGGAATATTATTAATGTTCACTTCAATATTATAAATAGAATAGAATCATTCATACTGATGTATAAGAAATTTAACAAAAACTGTTCTTTTTCATATATAATAATTCTTAATGATATTAGACATTCTTAATAAAATGGGTTTGTTAAAAGACTTTAAAAAAAAAAATAAAACAATTGATGTATACTTCAACTTACCTTAAAACACAAAGTAAACAAATATGTATTTTAATAGTTAAAGATTATAAATGCAGAATAATATAATAACAATTATAATAAACAAAGAAAAATGTAAAAATAAATGGATAATTAAAATAATCAAGACTTTTAAAATACATCATTTTCTTTGAGCAGTGAAAAAACATGTCTGTACACACTAACATACAGCATCTTTCTAATCAACAAAAATATATATATATATATATATATACTTCATTTAAAAAATGCATAAAAATATATATATATATATATATATATATATAAACACACTTCATTTAAACAATACATACATATATATACTCTTCATTTTAAACAATGTGTGTTAACTCTGCATTTAAACAATATAATATATATATATATATATATATATATATATATATATATATATATATGTGTGTGTTCACTCTGCATTTAAACAATATATATATATATATATATGTGTGTGTGTGTTCACTCTGCATTTAAACAATATATATATATATATACACACACACAAACACATGTTCACTCTGTATTTAAACTATATATATATATATATATATACACACACAAACACATGTTCACTCTGTATTTAAACTATATATATATATATATATATATGTGTGTGTGTGTGTGTGAAAAGTGTGTATATAAATATAAACATATATATATATGTGTGTGTGTGTAATATATATATATATTATGTGTGGTACTTATTAGAAAGCACTCAATAACCAAATATATATATATATATATATATATATGTATATATGTTCACTCTGCATTTAACAAATTACTTTTTTGTTGATTGTTTTTCTTTCATCAAAATGATTCGAAAATATGGAAGATGAATAAAGTGAAAAATAAATATAAATTGTCTTATACAGCAATTTACAGATGCGCAAACCGATTGAAGTAATACACAGAATTGAGATCTGCTTTTTGAATTTGTTTCTTATATTTCGTTCTCAGTGCATTACAATATAAACATTTAGTAACAGAAATGTTAGAAAAATGAAGTTGAATCTGAAACTGGTTGACAGAAACCCATTATATGCCTGAAATATATCTGAAGTCTTCGTCAGGTACAACTTTATGATGAGCTTGTTGAAATGGAACCCAGTTCTGGAGAATTTTATGTGATAACAAGTACATTTAAACAAAAAAAAACAGGTGGGGTTAAAGGGAGATCACTGCACAGATTTGAAGTCAGAACATTATTATTGATAACTCTCTCCTCCAGTTTGCAGACCCTAGTTACTATATTCTTAATACTTGATATAATGCAAAAATATCACAATGATAAAACTGATCAATAACTGTTTATAACTATTTACACTGGGCCTCATGCATGCAATTACAAGTAATCCATAATAATATTTTAAATTTTGAAACCATTTATTTTTGACATATGAATTTTTTGAAACTGTTTCTAAAACTTTGTCATTCAATCAATCCGCCTGATTTTCTATCCTCTTCCGCTGCACCTATGAAGCGTGCCATACCATTTGGGAACCACTACTCTAAACAATATTTGCCCCCTCCCTTAAAATCACTGTTTTGCCAACCATTTACACAAGCTAGTTAATTAGGTTAATTGATATTTTCATTTGCCTTTCTTGTGTCCCAGAAATTTCACTTGCCTCCTTCTGAAGAAAAAATTTTCTTTACAATTCCTATTTTCCTTAAAACTTCCTCATTGCTCACATTTTCCATCCATGGTATTCTCAGCATCTTTCTGTAGAACTACATCTCTGTTGCTTTAAGTGTCCTCTTCATCTGTAAGGAAATTACATAGGCATCCATAACCCTCCACAAATACTTATCCTTTGTAACTCTGAGCCAGTGGTTTCCAAACTTTTTTCTCTCTAGGCCAAATTTTCAAAATAAAAATTTGCTCACACCTCCCCAAAAGGAAGTCCTGGTGAAAAAGCAGAAGCAGCACTATGGGAAAGAAAGTCCAGAAAAAAGGGTTAAAGAGAGATAACCATGGATTCAAAGTCAGAACATTATTATTGATAACTCTCTCCTCCAGTTTGCAGACCCTAGTTACTATATTCTTAATACTTGATATAATGCAAAAATATCACAATGATAAAACTGATCAATAACTGTTTATAACTATTTACACTGGGCCTCATGCATGCAATTACAAGTAATCCATAATAATATTTTAAATTTTGAAACCATTTATTTTTGGCACATGAATTTTTTGAAACTGTTTCTAAATTTTTGAATGTCTTTCAATCATTTACTATCCACTTCCACTACACCTATGAGGCATGACACACTGTTTGGGAACCACTGGCTTAAGTGATCATCAGACCATATATAGACATATAAGGTGTAAATAAAGTTTGTTTGTGTGTGTGGTGGGAGGTGCTTACTGTTACATCATGTTGAAACACTAATTCTCATATGATCACCTAAGTTAAGCAATGTCAAGACTGGTCAGTGTAGAATAACAATAGAACAACAACACTTACCGGCATAAGGGTCCCAGCTAGCATCCAGCTGACAGACAAAAATAAAGCAGGTTGTAACTCAATACAAATCCCGCAAACTGACTGAAATCAAGCTGGTATTTATACAGAAATACCTCCACTCATGTACCAGAAGCCAATCACAGCCCAAGCAATGGACTATCCCACTTTAGAACAATGAGATGCTCCATGGCACCATAAATAGCTCTCTTTCTCAAGGTGGAGTGTTCATTCACTCAGCTTGTTCCACAACTGAGTGTTTATCTTGACAACGTGATTGTTCTACATGGCGCTGTGAACAGGATAAATAGCTCTCTTTCTCGGGGGGGACAGGTTTTTTTCTTGGGCTGTGATTGACTGCTGGTACATGAATGGAGGTATTTCTGTATAAATACCAATTTGATTTCAGTCAGTTTGTGGGGTTTGTATTGAGTTACAACCTGCTTTATTTTTGTCTGCCAGCTGGACGCTAACTGGGACCCTTATGCCGGTAAGTGTTGTTATTCTATTGTTATTCTACAGTCACTACCTACATGGCTGACTGCTTTGGAATACCAGTTGCAGTAAGCTTGGATGTGCAGGTGGTGTAATAGATAACAGCTTGGAATGAAAAATCAGAAATCTGAGTTCCAATTTCAGTCAATTTGGGAAAGGTATGAATCCACCTCTTCTTCCCCTGGCTATGGGTTAATTAGTAGAATGTATCTCCGTAAATCATCATTATATCCAAAAATTCTTACAATCTAAAAATAATTTCTGGCTTTAAATAACCTGCAAAAGACAGATACTGCCCACCAAAAAAAAAAAAGACAATAAACCAAGTGTGTTTGTGGGGGTATCACCCCACCCCTAAAATGCAACACAGACCCAAAGATAAATGTCTGCAAAGGGTTTTCATTAGGTATTGTTTAAGCTGATCTTTGTAAGGTTATCTGCATTTCTTGAGGTCTTTCTTATTAAGAATTTAAAGCAGGTATAAATTCCTGTTTCTTTATCAGAGACTAAAATAGGTCAGCACTTTAAAATAGGTGATGTTGGTAGAAATCATGGATCTGGAAGACTGATAGCCTCATCATGTAGGTATTGACCACCTGCTGACCATTTCTAGTTCTCAAAAACAGTTTTTTTTTTTTCCTATCAGCAGAATTCAAGGACTCAGAAAACAAGATTCTTTGAGTAGAACAAAAGGTTATCTAATTTCAGTTTTGTGTCTAGATGTTTTGAAAAAGTGATTTCTATCTTGTATAAACATCAAAGACAAGTATGAAGTTCTTGGCAGAATACAGGAAGTTTGATTCAGAATGTTTCCAAAGAGTTGTGTTGTTCTTCTATGTGCTGTGTCTCTTCAGGATGTTGGTGATCATGGCTCTCCACAATTTTTTTCTCCTTTGTAGCTCTTAGTAAAATTTGTCTTTTTGCTGTCTCCTAACCTCAGTTCTGACAACCATTTAGCCAAGAATATTAGGTTGGTTATGTGCTTCTTTCTTCAGTCTATTTTGCTATCAATATCTCTTGTGCATATCAAATTTTCCTAGTCCTCTTTCCTTATGTGCACTAGAAATTTCAACTATGTCTTTCTCATGCTACGTGTAATTATCTCTTTTGTTTCCATTTTCTCTAAAACATTGTCATTACTTACATGCTCAGTCCATGGTATACTTCATATCCTTCTATAGAACCACATTTCTTTTCTCTCAAGTCTCCTCTTTATTGGTGACTAGCAGTAGAGGCTGGCGTTGCCCGGGAATGTAACAGTAAGAGATAGATCAAGTATCGACCATCATAAAGACTGAAAAATAAAATTGACAAAGATTATTGTTTAAGGTTGATGGACACGCATGTCTTAATTAGTTTTTTTTTTTTTAACGAATTGGTCAAACCCAAACTCAAACAAAAACATTGTTTTCAATCGTTATAAGTCTACCGATTGAATAGAATTTTATTATAAACAATTGTCTTGTAAATGGAATTTTTAAAGCATTCTGAATGTAAAAATAAAGAAAAAAGTGTGCAAGACAATAAGAAACACTACCTGCCAAAAAAAAGTGAAGTTTTGTTGAAATCGGTTGAAAAATGTAGGAAATCCGATCCCATATATAAATGAACACA